ACCAGTGCTCAGGGTCTGAATACACTGCATTACACATGTGGCTGTTCTTGGAAGTCAACCATTTCTGCAAGTTATTCTCAAGAGGCATGATGTACTATAAGCACTTAAGAAATGTGTTACACTGTGACTGGAACCAAGATGAAATGGCAATATTAAAAGAGATGGTTTAGTTTATGTAGTAGCCAACTATGCCATTAAACTAGAACAATGGAGACGATGGGGAGGCAGGAATGTTCTCCAGTGTGATTTATTCCTTTCCAGTAGCAGTGGAAATTTTTCCTATAGGCCTGAAAATGACCCTGTCTGCCAAGCAGAAGTCAACATTAAGATGTAAGAGTTCTGCTAGATTAGTCACCTCGGGATACTCTGCTCTCACACAGCACAGGGATCTCAAAGCCCTTTGCCGGAATGGGTGGAAACTCAGCCTCTGAAGCGCCGCAAAGACCATGCCTTAGCATCATTGTTGTCAGTCACTTCAAAAAAAGGGAAACTGAGGCTTGAAGAATTGGTTAAAAATATGCAAAGAAGGCTCTACGACAAATCAAGACCAAAACAAAGGCTTCCTTGATCCTACGCTTTACAGGAAACATGCATCTTCCTCGGAAGGATCATTGTTTGCTGCAGCTCAGCGCAGCTGGGTCAGTCAAGGCAAGAGGAAATGTTACCGGGCAATGGTTATCAGGCAAACAATATAATGCCATTTCCACTTCTGCCAGCCAGTTAGGCCTGCTTGGCCTGATGACATGCATGAGAAAGGCTAGCTCTTTTACAACAAGCCAGGGTTTGGCACCTAAGCCCTGTTGATTTTATACACCTGCATCAGCTACACACACGGTGACGCTGTGCATCTATCTGCTTTTTGTGTTCCCATGCCCTGACGTGATGGGAGTTGCCATGCCAAAGGCTCCCCTATAGCCCCCACAGAATATGAAAAGAGTCCCAAAATGTCTCCTGATCAGACCCCTTCTCCACACAAGGTGAGTCCAGAGTCCTCCAAGGGGCCTATGGAGAAGGATAATAGGGATGGTTTGAAATGTTACCCCTAGAAAGAGACGTATCTGGCTACCAAAGATACCTTCTGTACACTGATGTTTTCATGACCCCCCAAATGACATTGTGAAGGCCCAGCAGAAAGAACAGACTGAAGCCGCATGTCCAGCCCTTCCCAATTGTCAGCCCTGCTCTCCCCCTCTTTGCAGCCTGGCACACTGAGAGTGCGACCATGTGCAGCTGCACGGGCCATGCTGCTCAGTCGCCTCCCTCAAAAACAGCCTCCTACCCACTTCCTTCCTCTGCAGAGTAACGAGGCGCTCTTCGGCCTCGTGCTGCCTCTCCCAGCAGCCTGGTTCCAATCTCGAGGATGCCACATCAGACAGTTACCCCCGAGCAACGGCACATGTGGCCAGAGGTGCTCCCGCTGCACCACAGCAGCCACACAGGTGCCAAAATCTCCCGCTGCCCTGGCCCTGAACTGCAGAGTCAGCTTGCAGGGACAGAGAGAAACCAGGATGGTTCAGTCAGAGCCAGGATGAAGCGCCAGGCAGAAACACACAGATACTGAGATACCAGCCAGGTGATGTACAGCGAACACCTCATTTTCCAATGCACAGAGCCCACCTCTTCCTTTAATCTGTCTCAGTGCCATGGCAGCTCAACGCTGCTGGAAGAGCTAAACAAAGACTAAACAAAGTTCTCTCTCTCCTGATGAAGTTGTGCTATGAATTACTCATTAGATCCTGACCTCCCCACTCCAAGAAAAAGCCCTCCTGACCTCAAAAGTGTTTTGTCTGAAGGAGTACACCCAAAGCTGACACAGAGAAGTTAAGCTTTTGCTACCTAAAAACCGATCCCTCCCTTCCCAACATGTTTAGTTAAAATAATGTGAAACACATCATGGATTCAGTTCCAGCTTCCACCTCAGGTATTTCCAGTTTTACAATGTAAACTATGTCCAGGATGGAGTGAGAGGGTTTTTTTGTTTGCATTTTTTCCTCCTAAAGATGAAACCTACACAAGAAATGACAATCCCTTCCTACACAAAATCTGTTTTGTTTTGTACATATTGCTGGGTTGCTCTCATTCAACTCCACTGCTAATTGTCAAAAGCACAGATACCAAACTTGCTCACATTTCTCTTGCAGTGGGAAGGAAAAAAGGGAGAGAAGATCAGCTGACTACGTGCAAGCATTTAGCAACCTGCCTGTGCTGTCAGTGCCCCCCGTGAGTGACGGGCGTTTCACAATCGGAAATATGAGCAACTGCCCCAGCTGTGTAGTCCTCAGCCAGCAGCTACAAAAGTGTGGTCCAGATTCAGGAGAAAAGGAAGACAGGACTGTGTCAACACTTTCACTCCAAGGTGTGCTCTGATTTTCAGTGAGGCAAGTGCATCTTTTATCAGAGTAGACACCATTTCTACTACTGCCAGGAGCAGGAGCTGGCACAAACTAACCTCTCCGTATCAAGCACTAGTAGCTGCTAATCACAAAACAACTGGAGCTCACAATGTGATAAGGAAGCCTGCTCTTGACCCACAAAACTACTTCCCCTCTTTTAAGACACTGAAGTAATCCCCCAGGGTGGTGCTTTGCATCTGGGAGAAGCACTGCTCTGGAGCCTCTGTGGAGATGAGGTATGGCACCAGAGTTCTTCAGGGGAGTGGAGGCAAGCCCCATTCAAGTGTTTTCAGTCAAAATTAAAGCTGCTGCTTCCCAATCCTGATGCTTCCCGCAGGGATCAGTCACTGCCCTGTCAGCTCTCTTCCCTGGGGTCTTGACTGCCGCCCAAGATTTTTAAGGGATACCTTCAGAAACACACACACATCCCTTTTCCCAATGTTGCTACGGTTTGCCTCAAATAAACAAATCCCCAAGATCTGGCTACATTCACAACTGATTCAGAAGAATGAAATTGGGGTCTCTGTGTCAGTGGGTCTGCCAAGCCTGCGTGACAGCACGCTCTGTATGGCCAGCTTCAGCTGCTCCCACCACCGATACATCTGTTTTGCTCCTCGTTGTTTGCAAGGAGAGTCCAGGCAGCACCAGGGAAATAGAAACAAATTGTAAATACAGGATGTATTATGAAACATCAGGCACTGGTTGGAGGATTTGAGGGGAAATAAGGGAAAATGCAAAAAATTATTTTAAACTTATCTTTCCAAACATATGAGGAGAATTAGTGGGTTTATCCAGGAGAGTGTGAGCTTAAATTCTGCAATAGTAACAGTGGGCTTAGGTAGGTGCATTGTACTGTATAAAACAAACTGCTGCTCTTCCACGCATAAAAGAAGGCAGCAGGAGACTGAGTATCACACACAGTACTGCCTAAAGCATGCTGGCTATGTCAACAGATTATCTCGCTTTGGACTGTCTGGACTGTTACAAATATGCAACTGAATATGCAACAGATCCAACAACAACGATGCTATGCATTTAGTTTTTTTAATGAAATTATATTAACCTCTTTGGTTTAATTAGCATGTTAAAAATATAAAAGGAAAGCAGATGTGACCATCATGGATGTGCAAGCTGAATATGAACAACAAAAAGCATCCCCTCCCCCTCAGAGGATAAAGCAAAGTTGGATCAGTCATTTTGCAAATTAAATCCTGAATGTGTTCACACTGTAGCTGTCAATAAACCTCTTGTCTGTGTACACATATGCACACAAAGCTGAAGCCACAACAATTTTACTAGGGTAAGCCTTTAAAGATCCAGCCCTGGTCCAGCTGGATGACAATGCTACAGCGTGAGTGCTCCCCTGAAGCTCTATCGTCCACATTTCTCCCCACACACACTTCTAAGGAAAAATTAAAGGAATGTCCCAAACTGTCACTAACTGGAGACCTAACACAGGCTACCCTCACGCTAGCCAAGACTAAGGTGAATGCTGGCATGATGAAATCCAGTGGCTCCGATTCTTACACCGATAGTGCGACGGGTCCGTGCGCTGCACTAGCACCACATGTCATCCCAGCCACACTCCACTATTCCTACCCGCCAGTGGATTTTTTTTCTTTTAAAGAGACACTAGTTTCCAGAATTTCGCCTGGTGTATCACCTCTGCCAGAAAACCACATCAAGAAACAGGATTGTCTCACAAGGTCCTGCCATAATGAGGAATCCTGTCCTTCCTTTTCCCTCAGTATCCCAGCTGATAACTATTTATGTAGCTATGCATTTGGGCTCATAGTTCATTTTATACAACACTTTTCTCTGTAACCTACTCTTCTCCTCGGTCTTATTTATTCACTCCACCAGTCATCGTTTTAATGCATTCGTAATACTTGATTTCCATCTTTAAAAGTATCCTAATTCTGTCTGCCTATTAACCCTACGCTGCCTCAAAACACACTGGTTTACTGGAACCAGCCTAAGGCGTCATTGTTTTAAGATACAGCAAGAAGTGCGTGTTTCTCCCCACCTTCTGGGAAAAAAAAAAGAAAAAGAAGTCACCTCCCTAGTTACAGAATTTAGCCTAAGAGCTTTTGCTAGGGCTACCCCACACCTGCCCACCCCTCAGCTCTGACTTAAGCTACGATTTTTATTGATATATACAAATTACTTGAAAATAAGAACGATCTATATATATTCCGTTTTCACCAGCTGCCAGTTGTCACCACTGGCTGGAAGTAATCAGCCTTGTTTAAAAGAACAACAACAACAAAAAAATCTACGCTCAAAAATTAAATAAAAATAGTAGTCATCATAAAAACAAAACCCTAAAGAATGCCACCGGATCTCAGGTGCTGCCGGGCGTGCTCAGAAAGGACTGAAGGCAGACAGATTTGAATGGACTGCTCAGTTTGTCATGGCAAAAAATACAGAGATTTAAAGGTCTACCCACGCGGCAAAAAAAAAAAAAACGAACCACCAGAAAAAAAAAAAAAAAACAAAAACCAACCCTGAATTAAAGAACAAAAATAAAATAAAGTCAGAAATGCAGCCCCAATGCATCGACTGTCTGCGCTTAAGAGATTTACAGGAGTAATTTAAATGATTCACCTGCTGCCAGTTTTCCTCCAAGGATGGCAAAGCTGAGAAGTAGCCGGTGTCGTGGACAAGCTGGAGTTCCTGGAATATACTATAACTAGCCAAGACATCCATGCTGCTGCTGAGCAAGACCCTTTCTTTCTGCTTTTGTGTGTGTTTGTTTGCTCGGGTGGGGGGTTGTTTTTGATCATAAAAAAAAAAAGGAGGAGGAAAATCAACCAATGATAGATCCAGCGTCCCTTTGGCTTTGTTTTGTTTCAGTCACACTTTAAA